AGAGTACCTAACTGCAGAAAGCTAAACAACCCCTTATCGCGTGCATATCGGTCTTTTTGCAAATTCATATAGCAGCAAAGTGCTTTTCACTGCACACGCAGTGAAGTTAAGATTCCGCTTCTGAGTATAGTTAGCAAAGCTGCTTTTGCAGGACGAAGTGGTACCAAGTGAGCGCATTGATATTCGATTTTGTGTAGTAGCGCCGCTCGTCACTCACTGAGCGATTCTCAGCGGCGAAGTATTTTGTGGATGGGCACACACAACGGCAACGGGCATCCTCGAAATTGCCCTGCAACAAGCCAATGCTACGCCATCCTCTTCGAACAAAAGCAACATTCACAACCTCTACAATTACTGCGGCAATTAATACTTCTTTTAACATCTCTCTGCTGCACTCGGCCTGTGACAGCAGCGCAGCAGCAGCACTAAGATAGTCCTGTTAAATGTCAAACAGTGCACCTCGCAGCGCAAAATCCACAACAGAAAGCAACAGTTCACAATGTGGGCGATATTCCCTCCCAGACAGAGGGAACGGGCCGTTCGAGGAAGCAGCGGTGCGCTACCGGACGGGCGGAAGGCGAAGGCAACTGCATGGCCCCTTGTGCGATGGCGGAGCACGTCAGCGTGCAACCAACTCACCCAGACTGCAACGACGCGGAGCTTGTGACAAAACACGAATTTTGAACACATTCATGTACCGAAATATAACGTGGATGAAGAAATGCGCCAAATTGCACGAAAGTCAGAATTTGCGGCCATAAGCAAACTGAAGAACACCGCGACAGCGCCAGGAGGAAAAGGAAGGCAAACCGATTCCTGCGCACCCGAACCGCAGACTTCAATTTTCAGTGCAAAGAAAGCGTTCTCGAGTAACAGAGAACCGAACAACTTACGAGATGAGCAAACACGGAGTCCTCCGTGCTAGTACCGCCCGGTTTTCGCACTGCAAGGAAACGTAAGAAAGAACTAGCCTCAGCAGTGAGGAAAACGGCTGTCAGCAGAAGGATTGCGGACTGCGTTGCAGTTGCTGGTGCGATCATCAATTTTCGAAGATTGCCACTAAGTTGCTGAAAAATGCATTTCCCAGCACAAAACTGGCACAGTTCCTCTGCGCGTCGATGTGCTATGCCACCGCGTGATCCCCCTCCCCCCACTTAGAGAGTGCCGGCGGCGGAAGTTCCAGAAGTTAGTGCTAAGCCAAAGAGTCAGGTGCCGGCAAGCTGCAGCAAGTGAAACACTGAGAGCCACCAAGACGAACAGTCACGCAGCATACATCACCCATCCACTCCAAACCAAATCTATTTACCAGAACCACTACACACTAGTGAAAACGGGGAAGCAAGCTCAATGGGCCGAGCGGAGAGGGCTGTGCAAATTTGTGTCTCACGCAATGGTTTTTCTCTCAGTTAAATTTCTGCATCTAATGGCTCGCATGAATTTTTGCACGCTGAATTTGAGAATTTTGAAGAAAACTCGGACCAAGCAGAATTCGGGATACACTGGGGCCTGCGATGCTTGGTGGTTCAATCGTAATGAAATCAAACGCTCTCGTACCTCTTACAATAGGCCATTTTAAAAATAATGATTCCACTACCAGAAAACCGAAGCAAAAAGAATAATTGGCCGACGCACGGGCTGCCCGTGCGAAGATGCGTTTTTTGCAGGGTTTCCCGCAATTTTTGTCGCTACCGACATCGGTTTTTTCGGCAAATGCTTCAAACTAAACAAATTAAGATTGCTTGCCATAACTGGCAGGAAACATCCCCTTAGAATTTCGGCTTTCTAGTTTTCCTGGCTCCTGAGTTAGCAACTTACTGGGAAAAACTTTCACGGACCCGAACGCGGGTACGACGCATGCCCGATGTCTGGGTTTGAGCTCGTTGAGACTTGCTTGGACGGGGAGCATCTTCTTCAAACTACAGTCTTGAAGCTTTACAGGTTCTCGAGTTATGAGCTTATGCGAGAAAAACTTTTGTGAACCCGTGCGTAGATACCACTCATGACCGAGGGATGGGTTTGATCTCGTTGAGACTAATATGGACGAGAAACACCCTCTTAATGTTACAGTCTTCTAGCATCTCAGGGCCCCGAGTTATGAATTTACGCGGAGAAAATTTTGACAGGCCTGTACACGGGTACCACGCTTAACCGGTGGTTAGGTTTGAGCTCATTAGCATCAACTTGGACGGGGAACATTTCCTTAAAATTTCAGCTTTTTTGCATCTCAGAACGCCGAGTTATGAATTTACGCGCGAAAAACTTTGGCGGGTCCGTACGCGGGTACTACGCTTACCCGGGAATTGGTTTTGAGCTCACTAGTGCCTACTTGGACGGGGAATATTTCCATAAAATTTCAGCTCTCTAACTTTTCTGGTTCGCGAGTTAGCAGCTTACCCGTAAAAAACTTTGGCTGGCTCTTACGTGGGTACCACGCAGGAAGGGCCGCCCATTTCGGAGATAGGGGTCCGTAAGTGCATG